GATCCGTGCTGACCCCTACTTCAGCCCCATCCAGGGACAACTGGAGAGCCTCTTGGAGCCCACCTCCTTCACTGGACGTGCTTCCCAGCAGGTGAGGTTGCGGGAAGCAGCTTAAGATGTTATGGGGCATCATGCCATAAATTATCCAAACCATGTCCCTTTATGTGTCTGAGACAATCCGCTTTCTGTATCTCTGCCCCTTCCATTACAGGATTGGATCTCTGCCCATTCTTCTAAAGGAAGGAAGGGTTACCATTTTCTTAGCTACATAAGGCATTCCTTCCCTTTTCTGTCCATCTCAATTGCCTTCTATCTCCCCCATAGTCTTTGATCCTTGATGTGCTGGGTGACTGGGTGCATCTGTGAGACTGAGACCCTGGGGCCACAAGCTGGAGCTGAATGAAGCACAGAGAGGAACCCATTTATTTTTCTAACCTTCCCTTCCTCTTTCCCCTTGAGCAGGTGGCGAGGTTCCTGAAGGAGGAAGCTCGCCCAATGCTGACCCCGTACCAAAGCAAGATGGGTGTGAAAATGGAGCTGGCACTTTAGGCTGGGCTTGTGGATGTATAGGGGTGTGAGTGATATTAAAAGCCTTAATAAACCAAATCTATTTACTGTGTCTATACTTGTCGGTGTCTGTACCCTCGGTGTGACATAGCCATCCCAGGGCTCACACTCGCGCTCCCCAGATGTGTGGTGGCACTGCTTGTTCTGGGTCTGCTGTATAGCCAGCCAGACAGCCTCCCTCTCCTTTGTGCTGGGGTTGCTGGGAGGAGGTTGGCATAATGCCCACATTTGTTCTGGTTTTGCAATGACCAAACTAGGGTGACAATTCCATCACACACATTTTCCTCTCCTCTTATGATATGTTTCAAGCGGATTAAGTAGGCAGCCCTAGGGACTCGGTTGCATCTACAAATTGATCATCAGTTGAAGGGCATGGGCAAAGGGAAACCAGCTTTGTTGTCCCATTTGTCTGCTGTTAAACTATTGTCCATAGTGGTGCCAAAGTGTTGGTAGGAGCTGTTTCCTTGAAAGTGGCTGTGGGAGGACTATGATTATGATTTAATCACACTTAACACCTGCTTTGGCCAGATGATTAGGAGTAGTGAAGAGAGAGAGCCTGGGCCTGATTACTTTTCATCATAGCTAGCAGTCCTTGACAATACCTGTGATACAACCCAGCCATAACATGTCTGTGCTGTACCAAAATCTCTGGCTGTAGTGCACAATAATCATACGTGAAAGATGTGGAGTGGGACCAACCAAGGTGATCCTTACTTCCAGGCCCAGTGACAATTGGCTTTAAGGATGAGCAATGCTGCTCAGAATCACTGGTTATAGATAGGAGCTGTTGTTGAAATGCAGCCAAGGGAACATACAAGGATACAAAAATCATTTGTCTACCAAGATTGTGTTCCCTTATGGTGAGGAAAGAGAGGGTAGGGACTCTCATAGAGCTCATAGATGCAAAAGAATTTCAGGGGTTTGCTATTTTTTTGAGTCTGTATGTTTTCCTGTTTGTAACGTGTGTGTTTTTTATAGACTAAACTCTCCTTGATTTCAGAAAAGCTGTCTGACCCTCCACCAATTCCTGAAACATGATTCTGCAGCCCTCTCCTTTCTCTGCCACTTCATTCCTAGTCTTATCTTTCAGCACAGGGAAAGCCTCCCCTTTTTCTCTAATATATGCAGTCCCACTGCAGATGTGATCAGGAGAGCTCAGATTTTTTTTTGTTTTTATTTGGGAATCTGATTGTGTCCTGGCAGTCTCATGTGAGAGGTGGAGGCACGGCTATTTTAAGAAACAACCTGTTCTCCTGGAGGTCTTTGTGATTTAAAGGACTTTCTAGACTTCCCAACATAAGATCTAGTGTTTAATTGGATACTACTATATTATGTATTCTGGGAAATTGGAAATCTCAGGCCATGACCCCATCACTCCTCTAATTACTTTGCCGCTGGGCTGAGATGCAGAATCTCTCTCAAACAGTTGTGATTTTGTGGTGTTATATATTTTTCCTGCTCCTACTATATTAAACTTTAATTGGCCATCTGTTTAGAAGAAGTTTAATTTGAACATCAGTAACTTTCAGACTGTTTATTCAAATGGATGCCTAAGAGCGCATGTAGATTTGGAGTTTTCAAATGTATTTCCTCCAGAGATGAGGGGGAGAGTGTTAGTGGAAAGAATCCCTGAAAGAGAAAGGGAAGAGAGAGCGCACAGATTTGTCCTTATCTGGAAACTAGATTTGATGCCAGTTGGGGAAACCCAGCTGTGGGATGTTTGAATGGGTCTCAGATTAAATCCTATTGTATTTTTTCTGGAAAACAAATACAACACAAGGAACAAAGCCACCCTCCTTGGAAGCTTTGTGTGATACACACAAATCTTTTTCTGGGTCTCATCTGGGGCTTCTACTTGAATCTATTACAGAGTTTAGAAGAACCTGGTTCAAGATTTTTCTCCATTACCCAACTAAATTAAGAGTCCTCTGCATTATGTGGCTCTGCTATACCTGTCAGGGAATTATACCCCTTGGCCATTATAGCAGTAGGTCCAATACAGTGCTGCAGAAGCAGCTCTTCCAACAGCTCATAAAATGAATTATATTTTGGAGGGATTTATCCTGTTACATCTCGATTATCTATATTCAGCAGATATCCCAAGCTAAGCAGGGATGGGTCTGATCACTATATGTAACAAGAATAATCACAGAAATGAAAGGTAGAAAAGACTTATTAGCTCAACTAATCTGTTACAATTACAAATACTGGATTATTCATTCTTCCCTGACTGTTGGTTTGTCCAATCTAACTGTAACTGTCCTGAGCAATGAGTCTTCTAATACTTTGTTTGAGAGACTATTCAGCCTATATTGTTATTTTCTTAATTTCATCCTATTGCTATTAGGATTAAACTAAACAAAATAACTGATATTACTGTAGTAATGTGTGTAAATGCCCATTACTACACTAAGGAAAATCTGTTGGAGCTTTGCTCTTTCAAACAAAAAATTGAAATTATAGAAATGCAAAACTTAACACACCCTTAATTCTGCCTTTCTATCCTTGCCAATTTACCTTTCAAAATTAAGCCACTTTATGACTATGCATCATGGGCTTGGCAGGGGAGAGGGGCATGAGGCTTATAGAGTGAATACCAGATTGTCCAATACAGTACTAGAAATGTACCGCCTATCCATTGTGTAGTTGACTTTGACATAACTACAGGCTGTCCTCCAATTCACCTCTGCTTGCCTGAACCCACCATCTCCCCTCTTACTCTTTATATACACATGCAAGACTAGTCGACACACGGCCAGCTTTCCAGTATAGTTCTTTTATGTCAGATATTGGAAACTGTTATCTTTTAGTGTTTTTCAATAGTCAGACTCCTTGGAGCTGCATACCTTGAAAATACTGTATACTGTTGTGTTTCACCTAGGTAGACCATGTTTAAATGATGATGGACCTAAACATAAGATGGCCACAGTTACAGTCATCTGAAGTCTCTGTGTGAATGGACAAAATATACCCAGTTCCATAGTCCAAGCAATAGGGGGTGAAAGTCAATATATTTGAGGTTTAAGATAACTCCCTGTTATACTTAACAAAATCATATATTTTCGGATGAAGCATAAAGCCAGGGGCCTGACATCTTGTAGAGAGACAATGCTGTTCATGTGGGACTGGGTACCAGGAAATCGTGTGTTTTAATCCTGGTTCTTCCACTTTCTGTGTGACCCAGTCCAGGTCTTGTCCACTATGTTCCTCAGTTTACCCACCTGTAAAAACTGGCTTAATATGTACCTTACAGGTGGTATGAGACTTAATTAGTATTTCTGCAGTGCTTGGAAGATTAAAGTGCTAAATTGTGTTATGGGGGCCATTAAAGGAGTCATGGTACTTTTCACAATAGCTAAGGGTAGGAATGGAGGGGACATAGCCTCAATTTCCAATGTGGGTAAATTACATGCTGCAGACCTAAAACTGGGGCTAGTGTTCAGTTTCACATTGTTTGGTACGGTTGTGTAGAGGAGGTGAAGGCTGCATATTAGTAGTGGGGTAAAGTGACTGGTCAAACACAGATTAAAAGGATTTTCAGATGGAAGGTGCTGTATAAATGTAAAATGTTTCTTCTCAGTGCTTACTGTTCACTATTCTCTCTCCATATGATCTTCATACCTGACTCCATTCACTGGCTGGCTGGAGTGTGACTACAGTAGAGAGCGATTTACCACCCATCACCATGCTCTGGAGCACTGACCCCCTGCAAGTGGCCACCATTGACTCCTGAAAAGGAGTGTGTGTTCCTGCAACTGTGCTGCTCTCTGGCTCCTCTCTATCTTCTTGTCCTTCACTCTGTTATCACCCAATCTCTATCCCTTGGTTCCCCCCTTTGTAAGGCTGTATTTGCTTGCATATGTATAATTTGTTGACAGTAGCTACACCAGGATGGACAGTATTTTTTCCAAGATTTATCTCTTAGCTCTGCAAAGAAACAGAACTAGCGCAATGTACCTAATTCCTGTCAAGCAGAGGGGAGAGGGAACCATCTGTCTCCCAAAACATCGGTTTACCAGTGGGTGAAGATTCAGTAGGGGGGTTTTACATTCACATGCCTGAGTGACCTAGGTCGGCAGGGGGCGAATCGGGCCCTAGTTTCAGTCATGGTGGGGGTACCCTGCCTTTGGGGGCTGGGGAGAGGGGGTGCAGGCACGTATGCCAAAGGGGGCTCCCCCTGCCCCCTCAGGAAGCTCAGCAGCAGAGCGCGCTGCAGGGACAGGCTCTGCAGTCTCGCGCGTGCCGCCGATGGGGGAAGCGCTGGGGCTGTGACGGGCGGCCGGCGCGAGGCAGGCTTAGGGCGCCATGGTGCGCGCCGGAGGGAGAGCTCCGCCGCGCCGCCATCAAAGACTACATTCCCCACAATGCCCCATGGCGCCGCCCGGATGCCGCGCATGCGCAGCGGCGGGGAGACTCGGTGCTGCTGTCGGCGATTGAAGCGGTCGGTCTCTGGCGGCTGCCGCAGGGAGGGGGCTGAGGCGGCTGCGGACTGGGGGGCGCCCCTCTCCCGGCCGGGGGGAGCGGCACGCGGAGCAGGTGAGCCGGAGGGGCGGGGGAGGCAGATGGACAGACAGACAGACCGAGACAGAGGTGCCTGAGGCGAGGTCCGAGGGGCTGACAGACAGACGGGCGGACAGGCGAGCGGGAGGAACGCGCGGAGCGGGACGGGGGGCAGCAGGCGAGGGACCGGCCGCGGAGCAGGGCGGGCTGGACCCCGAGAACAGCCTAGCCAGGGGCGGGGGCAGCCGGGGAAGGGCAGCGCCCTGGGCTCTGTGAGCGGGGACGGCGCCTGAGGGACTGAGCAGCGCGGCTGGCCAGGCACCACGGGCCCGGCGGGGATGCCTGGCTGAGAGCGCCCAGACGCACCGAAAGCGGTTCTCTGGTGTGGGCCGGGGGAAGAGGGGCCAGATGGGCCACGCAGCCTCGATAAGGAGCCCTCTGGGAATGGGGCACGTAGTCTCTCCTTCTAGCCACGCTGCTGCTCCGCAGCTTGTCCCCTAATGCCTGTAACCCTGAGGGCTGGGCAGTGGGCAGGAATACTCTCTTATCTGGGAGCCCTCCACAGAGGTGGCTTATTCACAGAGACCTGTGTGTCTGTTGGCTCAGATGGGCACCCTTCATATACAGGGGTGTTTTCCTTTCCCTACACACCCACATTCCACTTCAGTGTGCTTCCTCCAGATTTCAGCTGTGGTTTGCAGTTAAGAGAATTGGACCCGGAAGGTACAAATCCTACCAAATGGGTCTGTTTGAATACAGCCACCTTGCCAGGAGCTGAAATGTTAACAAAATAGCTCCCCTCCTATGTTTCTGGATGACCAAAACCATACTTATAATTTCTAGCAGCAAGGGGAGGGCTGGACCCTGGTCTGCTGGTAGGGTAGGCTTCTGTCCCGCCTCTGTATTCATATCCCTTCCCTCGCCACTGAGGTGACTTCAGGGTGGTCCCTCCTCTACAGCCCCTAGGAAGGTTCCATTTCACCTGATCTGGTGACTCAGGGGCTGCACTGCAACTTTCTGACTCATTTTATACAATGATTCATGACTGGATTTAATTAGGTTTGATGGGGCATCTTCTCCTGCCTTCTCTCTGTCCATCTTTTCTTTTGGTCCTTTCTTGCTCCTTCTCGGTGCCCTTGTCCCTCTTCTATTTGATTTTATTCAGACTTGCCTAGAGGCTGCTCATGAATTACAGGTATACTATTGTTTTCCCTTGGTTGTCGCTAATCCCCATTGGTCAATTTCTTGGCCTTTTTACCACTAATCAGAGCTTGCCTGCCTTATATTGCCCCTTGTTCTCAGTTTCTGTTCAGATATGCTGAGAGGAGAGACTTACTCCTGTTCTGTCTGGTGTAAAGCTGGGGGGTGAGGGAAGAGGAAGACCAGCAACATGGCAATAGTCTCCAGGTTTTGGGCATGAATGGGTGTAATGCAAACCCTCTGAAGTGGCATATCTGCTCATTCTAAATGGAAACACAGCAGTTGATGTTGGTAATGCAGCAATCTGGCTATTTAGAGAGAAGGGTTTCCAACAATACCCCTAGGAAAGGTGAAAATAGACTTGACTTCTGAGACTTAAAAATAAAGGAGATACCATGAGTATAACTGGTCTGGTTCTTCACTTCCTACGACAGCATTATTGGGTCAGTCAGTCCCAAGTCTTCCCCTTGGCAGTGTCTAGTTCCTGATGCTTGAAAAATGAGTGGAGAAAACAATGAGAATGTAGCAGGCCAAACGTACAAAGTTATAGTAAGGAAAAAGATCCTTTCTCATTCCCACAGGCATGAAATATGATCACTCTTACATCATTCTTATCTCATACCACGATAGCTGTTAATAGTCCTAATATAGTCCAGCTTCTTTGAGAACATGCATATAAAGTTCTGGGCCTAAGTAGTTTAACGTGTGGCATGTGTTAAAAAGGAGCATTTCTAGCAGATCCTGGACAGTGGTCTGGGTGGGAGTAACCTTACAGTGAGGGATGTCATGTTTTTAGATTTTAGAAAAGCAGAGTTTTGAAAGGAGTCATCTGACTGTGGCCCTGAATACATCTCTTAAATTGCAGCTCCACTCAGCAGAGTGATATTCAGCAGATCTGCTGCCTGGGTTTATTCAGAGTCACATCTGCTGAATCTAGTGCTGCCTTTTGCTCTTGTTAGCCCCACAGAGCCAACAAAGCTACGAGAGAGTGAACTGGAATCTGTTCTTCCTTGTGCGTTGTCAACAGACTTTCAGGTCTAGTCAGTTAAATCTGTGCAAATCCATCAGAGGCCTTGGAAGGTACAAGTGTCACTAAGACCGTAATTTGACTTGCAGGGCTTTTTATTACTGGTGATGTTGGGTGAGCAAAATAAAACACAGCTTGACCCTGGTGTCTCAGGGTGAGTTTGCAGGGCTGGCAGAAGAAAAAATCTTGTAGTCTGCAAATCCCTGGCCTGAGGTTTCCTTTCACAGAGCTGTCATTGTGATGAATGGGTGGGCTTTTCAATCTCCAGGTTTAGGGTGTAATAAATGATTTAGGCAGATGCTAGAGCCTCTCATGATTCTACCTGGCCAGCATGTCTCTCTGCACAGAGTCATTTGTCTGCTTTGGAGCCCGGTAGATAAAATATCACTCCTTTTTTTGTATTTTAAAATGAATGTTAAAGTGCAATTCTGCTCTGAAAAATGACTCTATGTTGGCATCCTGGACTTCCATGTTCATTGTATCTCAATGGCTCCATAATCAGATGTGCACAGTGTATAATATTTTTTTTTTCTGTGCCAGCCCTACCATGTCAAACTGTGATCTGAAAGTCAAGCTAGGTTCTTCCTGGCTTATTCATTATCACCAGGCAACAAGATTCTGTCCTCTCGTGCGTTATCTTCAAAGTGAATCAGAAGTTTGAATGTGGCCTTGCAATTAGAAATGTAATTAATCATTCTGTTGCTTTTGCATGAGCCAGGATGGGCTGAGTGATGAGCCTGCAGGGCTCATAAAACCTTTATTTTTCTTGCTGTTACAATGAGACAGCTGCTGCACATAGGGAGCAGATTTGTTGCATAAGAAGATGGCATTTTAAATTAATCACATTTCTGACCATAATTACACTTTCAAAGAGGTGCATAAAAGTCTCTTGCAAACTTCTATAGTAGACTCATGCTGGAAGAGACAGGGAGTTCCAGTTTGCTTTTCTTTGGTTGTTAATTCTAGATCTTGATTCATTCTACCAGCTATAGAGCTCTGGATTTGTGTGATAGGAGGCACTGCAGGAGGCAAAGGAGAGGTCTTGTCTTCTCTTTACTTTCCTCCTGCGGCAAACATACAATCAGTCTCCTTAATTCACAATGATTTCAGTGATTGGGGACCATTTAAGTACTGAGTGTTTTCCCTACATTCTAGATCCTGGCAAGCCACCATCCTGCTGTGCCCACTCACCCACATAACTCTGCCATGAAACCCCAATTTTGACCTGGCACACCTCCTGCTATTCCAGTCCAAGGATCCCTTTGGAGCAGTGACTACCCAATCATCAGCAGACTTTTGTGAGGTCTGATGTGATGCGTAGGGGGAACGAGGATGAAGCCATTTAAACTCCTTTAACTGTTGCTCTAAATCACTTGGTCACTAGAGATAAAGTCAGAGGGCTAATCCACTGTCATTGCATCATTCCTGTCCTTATACTGTATTTACAGCAACCTAAAACACTGCTAGGCTAGTAGGTTATAAACCTTGCAGAGATGTTTCCTGGAATGAATCAGGTCTACAAGTATAATAGAAACTGTTTAATCTGTATGTGATAAGGGACGAGATCCATGGAATTGTGCATAGGTGTAAAAACTTAACTGGGTGTCACGCTGCGAGGGTAGGGCAGCACCTTTCATTGTCTGTTACAGGCCCTCCCTGGACCTTGTGTTTCCTTTCTCCCAGTTGCTTGTTCCGCCTTCTTCAATTGCTAGCTTAATTATGGTTGGGAGGAAAACTCCGGTTCCACAGGCACTCACAGCAAATATTGACTTGAGGAGCAAATGGTACTTACAGATCCGGGATATGCTACTACCTGACCTGAGTGGGAAGGTGAGATGCAAGGGTGAGGATGGGAGTTGCTGTAGCGGATTTGATTTGGTGAACCCTGATTCAAATTCTAAAGCAAAAACTTTTTGTGAGGGCTGGAGGAGATGGACTAGAACAAATACAGATTTTTCATCTCTCATTTCTGTGACGGGGAGGTTCAGTTTGGATGTTTGAAGTTGACACACTCAACATGCAGTTTTAAAATACGTACTGAGAGAGCTTTCCGGTGCCACATCTGTCTCCAAGTCCCCGGGCCAATGTTTGTGTCTTTACAGTCACACTTTCCTCTTTTCTAAAATGTTTCTTTCTGTCCTGTTGCTGTATGAAAGACTCACAAAGAACAGGGGAAACAGTGGAACTAACTATATGCAAAGTGCTGTCAAATGCACAAATTAAGCCGGGGGGAGGGACATTTTTTCCCTTGCTAACTTCTTTCAGTGATAGTAGATATTACTCTTAACACAAGCAGGTAAAAAATAATTCCAGTGAGAAGTGTAACTTCTCAGCTGATTGTGTCGCTTTAACGATTTCCATTGATTGCTCTTTTTATATTGTCACTGAAAACCTAGGTTTATTGGCTTGTGTCTTGCTGAAGACTTGTTGGGAAACTTGCTAGATGGGATGCTGGTTTGTTACTCCTTTCTAAATGGATTCTTATTGTTATATATATATATATATATATAAAAATAAAAATAAATTGAGGCAGGGCGCTCCTGGGTGGAAGTTTCCCTTCTTGTGCTAAAGACCCTGGGCAGCCAGTGCTGGAAAGGAGCTTGTTATCTGACTCTAGACCACCAGTCTGCTTCACATCCAACACTGAGCTGCTGTCATGTGAGAGTTAACTGGAGATCATATGGCAAAGGGGGTGACCAGGTAAAACAAACACACAATAGGAGACTGTTATCTGGGTGTTTGCATAAAACCAGATAATTGAAAGCTGTTTCCTATTGCAGCTAAGAGAGAGAGCAGGAATATTAACAGC